AAGGGGAGGGGGGAGGAGGGGACGGGCATATGCACAAACAATCAGTACGATGCGCACCCCCAGGGGAATGGACACACTTGAAGCTTGGACTTGGGGGGGAGGGAGGGTAAGGGCATCATACATAACCTAATCATCTGTACCCCCATAACATGCTGAAATAAAAAAAATTAAAAAAAAAAGAAAAGAAAAGCAAAAACCATGAAAAAAAATAATTTTTGCTTGTTATGGATGTTTTACTGGGGAATGGGTCCATGGAACTTGTTATGCTGCAATTCTGAAAGTGGATTCCCCTCCTATGACTACTTTTTCAGTGAATCTTTGTTATGATAGTGGTAGAAGGCTGGATATACTAAGCAGTACTGATGAACTATTTTTTTTTTAAATCAGAATTTTATTATACTATGTCTTATTTACTGGGTTTCAGGTACCTGCTTTCTCTTGCTTTGTTTTTATTTCTCCATATAAATGAACCTTGTTATAATGATGTTTTACTTTTAAAAATTACTTTTGGTGACATATTTTTGTGCTTGTTACTTTGATTTTTAGGTTTGGCTCCAGCATCTAGTCTTGCCAACACTGCTAGTTCAAGCACCATGCTGTTTCCTTCAATATCAAATGCTTCTACCTCCACTACTGCTACTGGGCCCTCCTGTAAGTTACTCATTTCAAAGAAAATGTTATTATTTCTCACGAGACCACCTTACTCAATTTGCCAATATAAGATATGGATCTCCTGTATCTCAGAAATTATCACTATTCTTAAACCCATCTATAACTGCTGATGTCAATAGTACCTTTGCTTAAGAGACTAGTGGTCATGGCTTTAGCTATGGATTTTTCAATTAAGATAGTTATTATGGCTTAAAATGATAACTTTAAGCATATAATCTATTAATGTGGTGTTTTGAAACAACTTTTTGAAGCTATTAAGAATAGGAAGAGTGAGAGTTTTGCCAAGTATGTCCAAAGGGAAGAAGTCTTTACTACCCATGTGAATAAGATAAAATGGGAAATAAATGTTGGAGCCTTGCTATAGTATATTCTTCTATACAGACCAGGTTTATGGTCTTTACATTTTACGTATCGGAAGTGGAACATGACAAAGGACCAGCTGTAGTTTTGGGGTTCTAATCGACACTGTGTGACATCTCATGACCTCTCCCCCTGAAAAGGCATATCTGGATACTTTGAGCTGAGAGATGTGACATTAATTATCTCACAACTCCAACTTCTTTGTTACGTATCTTCTATTAGTGGAGTAATAGCAAATGTTGAAAGTATTGAATTTTGTAATGTTTTAAGCAATTCTTTCTTACAGATCCCTGTAAACTGTGCCTTCAGGGTATCTTATTCACAATGCCATGATGTTCATCATTAAACTTTGTTGTATGGTAACCCTAGCTGTAATATGGTTCCCCCCAAAGCCCTTTGATAACAAGATTATTACCATTCCTGGGATTAAAACTTGCTGGGAAATGCTTATGCTTAGTCCAGCATGAATAGTGGCATACCATCCCCATCCTCTTGTACAATTGACATAGTTAAACATTAGTTAAAATTCTTGGTTACCACATGAGTTGTATTTTCTATAAAGTGGACTTTAATTTTGACACATGGCTCTGATTCTAGAATCCTTTTGATATATGTAAGCAATATACTTCTCAACTATAATAGATTTCATGAATATGACTGTGTCTGAAGTATGGAGTTCAAATTATTAAATTAATTACATCTTCAGTCAAAGACTTGCCCTCTGACCTTTGACAGACTTTTTCCTTCCTCCTGCCTCTGATGTCCTTGCCTACAAAATGAAAAGACATCTGGATCATAGTATCTTTTAATTAACTTTAATGAGCTATAACTTACATATCATAAAATTAAATTCTTATAAGTGTACAATCCAGTGATTTTTAGTAAGTTTATTGAATTGTGTAACCATCACCACATCTAGTTTTAGAACATTTCCCTTATCCCATTAAGATCCCTCAGCTATTGACAGCCACTCATCTATTTTTGGTGTCCATAGATTTGCCTTTTCTGGACATTTCGTATAAATGGATTGACTGTGGTTTTCTTTCTTTCTTTTTTTTTGAAGTTTAACAAAAAGTTTCTAAATAACTCTTTTTTTTTTTTTTTTTTTTTTTGAGACAGAGTCTCACTGTGTTGCCCAGGCTAGAGTGCTGTGGCGTCACACTCGCTCACAGCAACCTCAAACTCCTGGGCTCAAGCAATCCTCCTGCCTCAGCCTCCCGAGTAGCTGGGACTACAGGCATGTGCCACCATGCCCGGCTAATTTTTCTGTTTCTTTAGTAGAGACGGGATCTCGCTCTTGCTCAGGCTGGTTTCGAACTCCTGAGCTCAAACAATCCACCCGCCTCGGCCTCCCAGAGAGCTAGGATTACAGGTGTGAGCCACCGTGCCCGGCCTAAATAACTCTTAAAATGAAAAAGACTATACAAATTCCTCACTGTTTTTGATTTAAAGGGTAATAGTTAATATCATGTTGTTCTCTGCAGTTGGTGCCCCAACAACTTCGGCTAGAACACTTGGTGGTATAACTTTGGGATTTGGATTAAAATTCTCTGGAGCAGGTGGAGCAGCTCCTACTGCATCTAGTAAGATTTTAGAATTATTGGGATGTACTGGGACACTCATTGGAAATGTACTACATAATAAGCAGTAAGTAGGTCATAGTTCTATGGCTTCTAGGGCTGGCTTAATGGTTTTGGCCATCTTTTCAGAGTATCCAAAAGGTACACCAATATTGCCAAAGAGTAGAATGAGACAATGTCAATGGTATTCTGTCTGTGAGATGACTATAGTCAAAACTGCTATCAGATTCTTGTCAACTTCTAAACTTAAGAATCTTTGTTATTAATCACAATGTTTAATTGACCTAATATATTGGGATTGATAAAGATTTTTTTCTCTAAAAGTTAATTTACGTTTTGGCCTGTATTAAAGCTGACCCTCTCCTAAAGTTGAATACAGGAGTTTCCCTAGACCTATCCTAAATTTGTTTCTGCCAGTTAGGAGCTAGTTAAGTTGTAGGTAGAAGAAAACTTGGTTACCTATTGCCTATAGCTATTGTGAGCTGGGTGGTTAGGAGTCATTTGCTACCTAAACCTACCATTTAAGTCAGACTCCATTTTAGGGAAGTCTTGTTTGTTTTTACTTTAAAAAGTTTACTTAGGGCTGAAATGAATCTTTCTTCAGCCTGGCTTAAACTAAAGTCAATCCCTTTTAAGCTTAAAGTAATTATCCCTAAACAGAGATGTATGCCATCTCTTTATGTCTTCTTTTACATGGCCAAAACTTCCTGAGTTTCTACTGTTTAATAGGCAAAATGGTCAACCTATGAGAGTTGTGAAGGGTCTGTCGTGAAAACTTTATAAGTTATCGTATTTGCAAAAAATGTAACACGACTTTCCCATAAAATGCTTTAAAAAAAAGAACTGGTTCTGAGTCATTCGTTGAGTCATTCAAATATGAATTAGCAGGCTCTCAGATGACTCTGTCATAACCCACCCCATATATATCTAAGTCTCCAATTCCTTCCTGCAAACTGGTACTCTTGCCACTAGCCCATCCCTTAGCAATTTCATCCACCACTACCTTATGTACTTACCCTTCTCCCTATCAGATATGTCTCAATCTGACACCCCAATTCAGGCTTGTTTTTTTCCCCTACTTACCTTTCCTTCTCTTCAAGTATATTTACTTACTCAGATACTTCATCTCACAAACCAGCCTTGCAGAGCAGCTTTCAAGTGTCTTTATCTGCAAATTTACAGCCATTTGGGATTACTCTCTGCCCTGAGTATAATCAGCAAATTTTAAGAGAAGCTTGCTTTTTACAGTCTAAGAAGGTGATTATGTCCATTCCAGCGTGGAGTAAGATAAACAGTTGTTGATCAGTGACAGGATAGGAAAATTGGATAGTAGGATCTTTTAAAGATAATTTTTACTATTTTATATAGTGATTTTTAAGACCATCAGAATGAGATTTCTTTAAATGTAAATCCAAATTTGATATGCAGTTATTTTGTATTATTTATTGAACTGTGCTTCCCTTTTTACTACACAGATAATGTAGAGTTGACTATATTAAATGGTTTAGACCAAAGTTGTAACTTGAAAAATCAGGCTGTTATAGAACCTTCACTCAAATCCATTGCTTATTTTGTTAATCGAAATATTATTATTTGAATATACCAGAGCTAATTTATGCCTTTAAAATAGTATAAAAGATAAAGAACAAAAATAAATACTGTATAAAACGGTTAAAATAATCATACCATTTTTTTATAAGACTCAAGATCCTTTATGTTTAGGCTGAGAGGTATTCATTTCCCAAAGGTATCACTCAACATCTTTGGGGCGGTGCTTTCTTTGTCTATTTAGCTGTTCTTTAGTGATGGTGATGGTAGTTGATTTTTCTATTATAAAAAGTATATATATATGCATATATACATATATCATTTCCTCTAGAGAGAACAGTTTGGTGTTTATCTTTCCAGCCTTTTCCCCAACATGTACAGACACATTAGATTTATTTGTTTTACAAAAATGGAATCATACTCTGTGTATGTGTGTGTGTGTGTATACACACAATCCTAGAATTTACAATTTACTCTTTCCTCTTAAGTATACATCTTTGGACATCTGTCCATGTCAGGAAATATGGATTACTTTATTAGAAAATCATTCTTGGGTGAAGATATGTTCCTTTATAGAAAGGACTCTTTTTTTGTTAAAATTTCTTTCTGTCTTGAATGCAGTAATTACTCAGTAATTGAGGGAATTAATCAATAAAGGGAATCTACTGGTAATATTCATTTTCAGCATTTCTGGGGAAGGATTTCCTTTCAGATAAGATTTTTATTTTCAGATGAAGAAAATGGTGACTTATGGCTGTAAAGAATGCCACACGGGATCCAATTTGTAGTCTCACCAGTGTTATGATAGTGACTCCAGGGCTTCTTTGTGATTGGGCATGGTCTTCCTCTGTTGTGCTCATTTCGCCTTCATAAGGGCTAACACAAAGAATGGGGAATTATCATAAGGATCCTGTGTCCAAAATGGAAATGGAATTTTATGGCAGTCTAACACAGTCATTGCCAGGGCACTGTTATCTAAAGGAAATTAGAACTTAAGAATTATTCTTAAGACAGCTTTGGGGACTTCCTAAACATAATTGTTATTCTCCTTTTGTCTACTTTTTTCTTCTCTAAAACTTCCCATTGGTTTCCTTACCTCTTTTTCTGCCTTACTGTTTTACCTTATTCTTAATTTTGTCTTGCTTATGGCCCCTTATTTCTATTTCATGCCTTTCCTCTGTCATTCCTTTCAACTCCCTCTACCTACAGACTGATTCTTTTAGAAATATTTCCCAGTATCTGCCAAGAGTCTGATTCTTTGCATATTTCTACCTTGAGTCAGATTCTTTCCATATTGCTAAATTTTTGGAAATGAGATTCTGACCCATCTTATTTCTGTTTGGCTAGAGCTTTTTGTGCCAGACCCTTGCATAGGCTGCTAGTTAGTAGCATATGGAATGGCTTCCCATACATCAGATGCACAGCCCTGGCCCAATCAACTATCAACCAGTAGCAAAGGACAGAGTTCCCTAGAATAAAGAATAAATGTCTGAGCCTGTTCTTTCAGCAGGAATAGGATAGGATAAGCCAGTCTCCCTTAGAATAGTCAGTGTGTGCGGCAGGCATCATGATTACGTATTTATCTAGTGTGACCATTAACCTGAAAATATTGCTAATTGGGAAGGCAAGGCTAACATAAAACAAACAAACAATTGTGTACATGTTATATTTTTAAACAAATTTCTTGTTACAGGAGCAGCATTTATAAATTGTAAGAACATTTGAAAATACAGAGAACAGGACGGGTGCAGTGGCTCATGCCTGTAATCCTAACACTCTGGGAGGCCAAGGCAGGTGGATTGTTTGAATTCAGGAGTTCCAAATCAGCCTGAGCAAGAGCGAGACCCCGTCTCTACTAAAAAATAGAAAGGAATTAGCAAGACAACTAAAAATATATAGAAAAAACTAGCCGGGCATGGTGGCGCATGCCTGTAGTCCCAGCTACTCGGGAAGCTGAGGCAGAAGTATCGCTTTAGCCCAGGAGTTTGAGGTTGCTGTGAGCTAGGCTGATGCCACGGCACTCTAGCCCGGGCAACAGAGTGAGACTCTGTCGAAGGAAGGAAGGGAGGGAGGGAGGGAGGGAGGGAGGAAGGAAGGAAGGAAGGAAAGAAAATACAGAGAACAAAAAAGAAGAAAATAAAATCTTCCTGGTCCCCACCAGCCACAATTTTCTGTACATTGTTCATTAAGTTGCTCAGTGTATAGTGAGAACCAAAAATGCTATAGAAGTTCAGAAAACCAACAGGACACTGTAAATAGGAGAAAAGTGAGTTATAAACATGAGGAACAAAGAATTTGAGCTAGGCTATGAAGTATACTTAGGATTTTTATCTGAAGACGGCAAGGCATTTTAGTAGGGGTACAACAGAAAAAGACATGTTGGACAGCAGTCTGGGCTGCAGATAAAACTTTGAGAGGCTTTCACCTATTAAATTCACAAAAATATATGCTTTAGTATTGGCTATGATATAGCGAAACAGGCACTCTCCCCTTTTGATAGGGATGTAAATTGGCAAAATCATTTTGATAGGGCAATTTGGCAAGATAGGCTAAAATTTAGAGCATGCTGACACTTTGATCTAGCAGTTTCATTTCTAGGAATTAATCACACAGATATAGTCATTTAAGTATGCAAAGATATAGATGTACCGAGATTTTGTGTAAATTGCAATTATTCTTTCCTTGAAAATTTAGTTAAACTTACCAGTGATGGCATCTGAGTCTGGAGTTTTCTTTATGGGAAGAGTTTTGAGGATTGGTTTGATTTCTTTAATAGTTATAGGCTGGTTAGGTTATATGTTTTATTTTTCTGTGAGTTTATCTAAGATTTTTAGTTTTAAGCAGGAGGGTTAGTCCAGATTACCTGGCCTGCCATATATCATTTCATATTACAACAGTGGTGAGTTCAAATCTATAACTTTGAGTTAAAATTCACATTTTAAAAAATGCTTCTATAATTTTTGACTTGAATGATCAAGGCTAACCAAGTTTCTAATTTCTTGCTAACATTATACATTTTATTTTCCAGCTACAACTTCAACGACTACCACCACCACTGTCACCACCACCACTACTACTACAGTCACCAGTGGCTTTATCCTGAACCCAAACCCACTGACATCAACTGGGATTAGTAACACTGAACTTCTTACTTCAACTGTTAAGTAAGCCTATTTATTTGAAAATTAGTGTGAGTTTCATTTTATTTATCATGTATAAGGCATGATTTGCTTATATAGTTTTAGAATAATATTTGAAAGTTAGATAAATGACTGAGTTGAAGGAACAGAGAAAGATTTCTGTAGCTTAGGAAGTTGAACAACCAATAGCACACCTTTTCCTTCTGAATACCGTCATAATACAGTTATTACTATGACTAAGAATAGCTACCATTTGTTGTGCAATTGCTATATGTTTAGCAAGATGACAATGCTTTACAAACATCATATCATTTAATCCTTGCAATAACCCTATCAGGTAGGCACTATTTTCATTACCATTATATAGATGAGAAAACTGGAGCACATACGGATTTTATAATCTGCTCATGGTCACACACTTGGTAATGGGTGAGCCAGGATTAAAATTCAGACAGCCAAGCTCTGGAGCTTACATCCTTACATGCTGCTCTCTAATATTTGTTTATTTTTTAATTAAACTTTTTATTTTGAGACAATTGTAGATTCATATGTATTTGTAAGAAATAATACAAAACATCCTCTGTGTTCTTTATATCATTTCCCCCAATGATAACATCTCATTATAGTACAATATCTCAACATTGATACAGTCAAAATACAGAATAATTCCATCACCACAAGGATTCCTCCTGTTATCCTTTTATGGCCACACCCACTATCCTCCCCTCCTTTCCCTAACCCTGGGCAGCAATCTGTTCTTTATTTCTATAATCTTGATATTTCAATAATGTTATTCAGATGGAATCATATGTATGTGACCTTTGGGGATTGGCTTTTTTCATTCACCATAATTCCTTGAGATCCACCCAAGTTGTGTGCATCAATAGTGTGTCCTATTTTATTTATGACTAGTATTCCATGGTATTGTGGGTGTACCATGGTTTGCTTAAGCATTCACTTGTTGATGAACATCTAGGTTGTTTCCAGTTTTTTGGCTATTATGAATAAATCTGGTATGAACATTTGTATACAAGTTTTTTTGCAAATATGTTTTATTTCTCTGGGATAAATGCCCAGGAGTGCAGTTGTTGGGTGGTATGGTGGTTGCATGTTTTTTTTTTTTTAAGAAACTGCCAAACTCTTTTCCACAGTAGCTCTGCCATTTTACATGCCCATCAGCAACGTTTGAATGATCCAAAGTATCTGCAGTCTCACCAGGATAGGATGTTGTCACTATTTTTTATTTTAGCCCTTTTGATAAATGTGAAGTGATACCTCATTATGGTTTTAATTTGCATCTCCCTGATGACTAATGATATTGAACATCTTTTCACGTGTTTATTTGCCATCAGTATATCCTCTTTGGTAAAGTGTCTGTTCATATCTTTTGTCCATTGTCAACTTGGATTATTTGTCTTTTTACTATTCAGTTTTGAGAGTTTGTTATATATTCTAGGTACTAGCCCTTTGTCAGATATGTGGTTTATAAATATATTCTCTAGCTCTGTAACTTACCTTTTTATCCTCTTAGCAAGGTCTTTTGGCTGAACAAAAACTTTTAATTGGTGAGGTGTAATTTATCAATTCTTCTTTTAATGGATTATGCTTTTGGTGTCAATTATAAGAACTCTTTGCCTAGCCCTAGATCCCAAAGATTTTCTCCTATTTTTTCTCTAAAAGCTTCATAGTTTTATATTTTACATTTACACTCATGATCCATTTTGAATTAATTTTTGTACAAGGTGTGATTTTTAGGTTGAGATTAATTTTTTGTCTATGGATGTCCAATTTTTCCAACATCATTTGTTGAAAGGCTATCTTCCTCCATTGAATTGCTTTTGCCCCTTTGTTAAAAGGCAATTGGACATACTTGTGTCAAATGCTTCTTTGGCCTTAATTGATATGATCTTTTAAGTTTTTTTCTTTATCTTGATGAAATGGTAGATTACATTGATTGATTTTCAGATGTTCAAGCAGCCTTGCATATGTGGAATAAATTCTACTTGGTTATGGTATATAATTTTTATACATTTTTTGGTTTGCTAGTATTTTGTTTGAGGACTTTTGTATCTAAGTTCATGAGAGACATTGGTCTGTAATTTTCTTCTTTTTTAAATGTCTCTGGTTTTGATATAAGGGTAATACTAGCTCTATAAAATAATCTGGGAAGAATTCTCTTCTGTTTTCTAGAAGAAAGTGTGTAAAATTGGTGTTAATTCATTAAATGTTGGCAGAATTCTCCAGCGAAACCTTCTGGGCCTGGACCTTTCTTTTACAGGAGCTTTTAAATTACAAATCAATAATTATTTAATGATTCTAGGACTATTCAGTTTATGTAGTTCATCTTTGATGAATTTTAGTAGTTTGTGGTTTTTAAGGAATTGGTCCATTTTTTTCTAAGTCGTCAAATTTATCAGTGTAAAATTGTCCACAGTATTCCCTTATTGTCCTTTCAATAGCTGTAGAGATATTCCTGTTTCATTTCTGATATTGGTGGTTTGTATCTTCATCAATTTCATTGATATTTTTCTAAAGAACCAGCTTTTGTTTCATTGTTCTCTATTTTCCTATTTTCAATTTCATTGATATCTATTTTTTTTTCCTTCTGGTTACATTGGGTTCATTTTGCTCTTTCTCCGGTTTGTTGACGTATAAACTTTGACTATTGATTTGTGACCTTTTCCCCCTAATCTATGTATTTAGTGCTATAAATATCCCTCTCAGCTCTACTTTAGCTGTGTCCTACATATTTGGTTGTGTTGTGATTTCATTAGCTCTATATACTTTTAAAATTTCTTTTACAAATTCTTCTTTGACTCATGGATTATTTAGAAATATGTTATTTAATATCCAAGTGTTTCACGATTTTCATGGTTTTTTTTCCATATTGATTTCTGATTTGATTCCATTATGGTCAGAAAACATGCTCTATGTGATTTCAGTTCTTTAGGTTTGTTTTATGTGTGAGGATATGGTCTGTCTTAATGAATGCTCCATGGACACTTGAAAATTGTGTTTTCTGCTATTAGGTGGAGAGTTGTATATATATCAATTAGATTCTGTTGCTTCATTGTAATTTCAGATTCTGTATCCTTGCTGCTTTTCTGTGTAGTAGTTCTATCAGTTGTAGAGAGTGGCTTTTTGAAGTCCCCAACTGTAATTGTGGATTTGTCTATTTCTCCCTTTAGCTCTATCAGTTTTTGCTTCATGTATTTTGAGGCTCTGTCGTTTTGTTCCTTGCACATTTAAGATCGTTAGCCTTCTTGGTGCCTTGCTTCCTTTATCATTATGTACTGTCCATCATTAATTCTCATCATTTTCTTTGATCTGTAGTCTACTTTATCTGATATTAATATAGCCATTTCTTTTTTAAAAATTAATCTGGCATGGTACATCTTTTTTGATTCTTTTATTTTCAACCTATGTCCTTGTATTTGAAGTGAGTTTCTTATAGACAGCATATTTTTTTTTTTTCTTGAGACAGAGTCTCGCTTTGTTGCCTGGGCTAGAGTGAGTGCCGTGGCATCAGCCTAGCTCACAGCAACCTCAAACTCCTGGGCTCAAGCGATCCTTCTGCCTCAGCCTCCCGAGTAGCTGGGACTACAGGCATGTGCCACCATGCCCGGCTAATTTTTTCTATATATTTTTAGTTGTCCAATTAATTTCTTTCTATTTTTGGTAGAGACGGGATCTCACTCTTGCTCAGGCTGGTTTCGAACTCCTGAGCTCAAACAATCCGCCCACCTCGGCCTCCCAGAGAGCTAGGATTACAGGCGTGAGCCACTTGTTTCTTTTTTTTAAACTTCCTGTGGGTTGTTTGAATTGTTTTGAGGGTTTCATCTTGTTCTGTTCATAGTATTTTTTAAGAAATATATTGCTTTGTATAGTTTTATTACTGGTTGCTCTATTTATTACAGTACACATGCATAATTTACAACAAACAATGTGTTCATATTGATATTTTACCACTTTGAGTGAAGTGTAGAAACCTTATTTTCTTTTATTTCCCTTTACCCTCCTTATCTTTTAAGTATTAATATAATTATCTCAACTATTTCCTCCATATACATTGAACATCACATCACATAGGGTTATACTTTTTGCTTCAACTAACAAATATGATTTAAGAAACTCAGGAGATGTAGAATAGTCTCAGCAGAGAAATCAGAGCATTGCCTGGCTCTGCTGATCAGGGGATCAAAGATCAGCTAGCTGCTCAGCTTTATTAATACAACATGGCAGGGGAATTGGAGTGCCTCATGGTTCTGCCCAGTGGGGGATGCTTACTGTCTTGTGGATACGACAGGGGAATGCATCACTGACCAAGAGCTGGGGGGAGAGAGAGTCCTTTCTCTTTGGCCATACCCACCCAGAAAGGAGCTTCCTTCATGCTGAGCTGGGATGGGGAAAGAAGGTTCAGATTGTGGCACAAACTTTATCTGTTCTTGTGATTTAGTGTATTTCTTAATAAATCTTTACTTGCTATATTCCTTTAGCATAATTTCAAGAAACGTTGAATGGCTGTTTTTAATCATCTTTACCAGTTATGGTTGTTTTTTGGGGGAGCAGGTATGAGAAACTCCTCACATACTATTTTCTTCTCCGAATCCTCCTGTGTTCTTCATTTTAAAAATCCAACCATACTTTTAAAAGTATGATCCCATCCTGCATCCTTTTATTTTTTTTAGTGCAATAGTAACTCCTGTGATGACATATGGTCATCTGGAGAGTCTTACAAACAAGTGGAGCCTTGAGCTACAGGAGCAAGAGAACTACTTTCTTCACGAGGTGACCAAGATCAATGCTTGGGACCGTGCATTGATGGAGAATGGTGAGAAGGTAAGAAGATATTCTCATTAATCTACCTGCATTGTACAGGTATTTACAGATGAACACATGAGAATAGACCTGTGTTTTGTGGCTCATGTTCTATTCCAATATTGGTGAGCAGCTTCAAAATATTTTCCTTAGGTAATAAGTACCCTGTATTAGGAAATCTTTCATATTTGAAGTGTATTTGAAACATTAATGTTGCTCTAAAATTATTAAATAAATTCAAATATTTACACTATTGTATTCTTATTTCTCTTTATAGATTACTATTTTACATAGAGAAGTGGAAAAAGTGAAGCTGGATCAGAAAAGGTAGAACCTTAGATTTCCTGGGTTGGAAGATTAAAGGCATCTTTTTGTTCAATTTTTTTTTCCTTGTTGTTCTTTATTGACTTTTTTTGTTGCTTCAAATTCCTTTCATTAACCCTTCTGTTGGCTTGTTTTATTCAGGTTGGAAGGAGAATTAGATTTTATCCTGTCACAGCAGAAGGAACTAGAAGATCTGTTGACTACTTTAGAGGAGGAGTCTGTGAAGGACCAGAGTGGGCTTGTTTATCTGCAGCATGCAGATATGGAGCGTGAGAAGACGTAAGTAACTGGATAAAGATCAAGGAATGGGGCAGGACTTACCTACTATGAGAGCATTCCAAAAAAGAGAGAAAAAATTAACTTGGGAGGCAGGGAATAACAATTGGTAGGTAAGGGCAAGTTTTTATACTTGACATTTATCAACTTGTTTGTTTATCTTTTCTAGATGCTTGAAAATGAAGGAATCATTCTGGCAATTTTGTTTTATAGCATTTTTGCACACTATTATTAATCTCAAGTTTATACATGTCTGCTATAAAGTTTTTACATTTGTCAAGTTTGTTCTTAAGTTAGAAATACAAATTTTATGTGTGTGGTGTCATAGTATGGTGGGATATTTATGCTCTCCTATTTATATTGACCCTTCTAAACCTAATGTTCATTCAATTGCTTTAGTGATAAGTCATTTGCTATTTTAAAGGCAATTTGTTAATCTGGGGGCAAACTGCATACCTTTCAAAACTAGAATGATTTTGTCAATGTCTTAGGTTAGGTATATTTTATTTGTATACTATTCAGTCTTTACCTTCTGTCGATACATTGCCAAGTTTCCCACAGTAACTTTATCTCTCTGAAACTGAGATTTAGTAATCAGCCAATTTATAAAGTATTAGGAGAACTTGTATGAATGTGCTACATAATCTAGATTGAGACTAAATCAAACTCATTTTCTCAATGGCTTTTTATGAGTTAAGATTGAGCTTATTTTTTAAAGGCTTGCAAGTTAACTTTTTTGTAGGGACACTAAATGTGGTAAGTATAGGTAATCTGTACTGACCCTAGTTCTGTTTCTGCTTTTGTATTTCAGCTTTCATGAATTTTTCTTTGCATTGCTTTCTATGCATTCTATTGTTTTTTGGAAACATGTAGTTACATTTTTGGCCATAAGATCCTTACTGTAGTTTGAAGAAAACTTTGAAACATTAGTTCCTTTCCAGATGCCCTTTTATAGTCATATTTACATTGTGATAAAATCTTCACCAGAATTTTTAACAATCTAGAAAATCAATTATCTATAATTACTTTGGCACAGAAAGGCAGTAGATAGTTAACAACAAATCTAATTGAATCATTTCTTTATACGCATTAAGTTTGAAAAATCCTCTGGCCACTTTAATTGTCATAAACATATTTATTGACTAGGTTGGAGTGTGTGTGCGTGTGTGTGTGTGTGTGTGTGTGTGTGTGTGTGTGTGTGAATAGTCTGGGTGGAAATCTTGAGAATTTAGGCAACTAATCAATTTGTGAACTTAGTAAATTGATCTACCTTTGATTTATTGTGAAGCTCATTTATCAAAACATCTTTTGTTGCCTGGTGGAGTATATTTATATAAGGTTTTCCTTTGAAAATTTGTGTATTCAAGATCATTGAAGACATCTCAGCATTTACTGAATATTGCTAAACACTAAATAACTTCTCTGATATATCTGAATGTCCTCTGGGTATATTTTGACACCTAAAAAGAGTTCCTTTGCTCCAGAAATTCCCAGAGCATTAGTCAGAGGGCAAATAGATGACAGTAAAAATGGCATGGTGAATAAAGTCTTCACCTTTGGATACTTTTTAGAATATGGTAATAATAAGGTCACAGATGCTGTATCTATGAAAATGCACCATTGGTCATAGCTGAGACCCACTGAGAAGGTAGGGGAATTGGGACAAATCCAGTTGGTGGAATCATCTTTGTATGTCAGTAGCAATAGATCGTTGTTGTAGAGAAAACATTTCTTATTAATCCCTTTATTTTACCTGCCTTTTCAGTTACAAATTAGCAGAAAATATAGATACTCAGCTGAAAGGAATGGCGCAAGATCTCAAGAACATTATCGATCACCTGAATACATTTGAAAATCCTGCTGACACTACTAACCCGGTGTGTTTACTGCTTTACGTATTTAGACAACCAAGATTTAGTAAGAAATTAGCATTCTATGGTTCCTTTAGCTAGTCACCTTCTCCTGTCTTCTGTATGGCTGCTTACCTCCCTCTAGAGATATGAAGCTCTTGAATGTGGTTAGTGGAGCAGGAAACATTTAGAGGCAGAAAAGCTTGTGAGCTTTCTGTGGTTATTCCTAAGAGGGTGAAAAAATGACTCTTCCTGAAATTGTCAGGATTTTCTTCCTTGTTTTTCACATAACTAAGTATGTCCCTGTACTTGTTTTTCTATTCATTTACTCATTAGCTAGTTCATTCTTTTTTTTGACATACTTATTTACATACTCATATAAATGTTAGTAGGTATGTTTGAGTCTGTTAGACATACCCAGGAAATCTTTAATTTATGGTTAGGTTATATTTTAAAAGTTTGGTAATTAACTATTTGAGGCTTAACATATATTTTTCCATAGAAACTTTATTAAATATAGTTATTAGATTTCCACCTGCCCCAGAGAATACTACTTAGCTCATAATGTAAATGCATTATACCATTGGAAAATACAGCTGGAGCTCCAATTAGAGTTGAGACACCATGAATTAATTTGGTGGTGAGAAAGAATTGTTTTTTTTCTTTTTTCTATGCTCTAATTGAAGAGCTTATTTCCTGTACTTTTCCCTATTGTCTTAGCAGCTAAATGCAGTCCTCCTTTTCCCATTCCCTGTCCATGGCAGTAATGGTAAGAGGAATCTCCCATTGTGGGAGCTCCCATTGTGCTTTCTATAAAGATAATTATAATTAAGAAGGGGCCAGGATCTGAGTAGGTGAAGATGAATGACATATATAAGTGGTGATTATTCTTTGGTAAGCTCTTTGTCAAATTATGTATAGACAGTTCTTTACATACATATTACCAGCTTTTTTAATTATAAAGAGACAGTGTGTTATAGCTGAGAAAGCACTAGAATTTTGTTCCTTTAATCTCTCTGGGTCTTAGTTCCTTCTTTTGCAAAATGTCAAGGATGGACTAAATGATCTTTAAGTCCCTTCCAGCTATAAAAATTATGCCATTCTCTACTTTGGGTGAATCTAAAGTTGAACAAAGGCAAATATAAATTAATCTTGGATTATCCCTACCATCTCCCTGTGTTCACACAGATGATCGGGAGTTTACAAAATACAGATTTTCTTTTAATCAAATATTAGATTACTATTGTAATTCCAAAATTCAAAATTGTTTGTTGTAATAGAATTTTGATGCATAGATAAATCTATGAAGATTTAGACATGAAGCAGAGCTGATGTCTAGTTCCTCTGTATTGAATTAATGTAATAGTATTCTCAACACAGTAAGTAAAAGGAGACTATAATTCTGTCTTTATCCTTTTTCTCTACTAAGACCTAGATTGTTTTATTTTATTTTAGTAGTGAGTAGTAAATGGTTTGAGTCTTTTTTTTTTCCTGGCAGGGACGATTGGGATGTTTAGGGTGAGTGAATTAAAGGGTAATTGCTGCCTTGATGGCAGAATAAAAGAAGCAAGAAATCAGCAATAACTCATCTCTTTTCACAGATAGCATAAATCCTTGGGCAGGAAGCTGGAAAAACATTTTCTGAACAATAAGATTCCTATTGTTACAATAAATAAGATAATTTATTGTAACCAGATCAACAAAGCTTCATTACTATGGGCCATATACTAGGGTAGAAAAATAGCAGCTATGTGTTCTAGTGTTCATAGTGATGGGATTTACCTGTTTTTATTCCTCCTTCTAGGGGTAGATGGGAGAGACCACCTGATATCTAAAATTTTTACTGAGCGAGTTCATATTATGCTCTGTGTTACTCAGTCACATTTTTTTACAAAATCCATAAAAACGTTACATCACCTATATTACCAGTACCCTTGTAATATATTGGTATATTTCTTTCTAGTCTTTTTGCTGTGCTGGTAAAAATACTTCTTTTGTTTTAAATAGTACTAGAAATATACCTATATAGATTTTTGTATTTTGTCTTCATTTAATATTCTTTCAGGGTCTTTTCCCAAAATTTTAACCATTCTTTGAAAACATGAGTTTTAATGGCACTCTAAGATTTTGTTAGAGGTGACTTTACCATAATAAATTTAATCATTGTTTAATTGGTAGATTGTTTCCAATTTTCGGTCGATATAAAATAGCCCTGTTTTATTTACATTTGATTATTTCCTGTGAATAGGCTCCTGGAAGTAGAATATACTGAGTCAAAAGTTATCAATATTTTAAAGTTTTTGATATATATTGTAAAAATGTACATTTTAAAAATGTAAGTTGAGTCAATTTATATTACTATTGGCTGTATATGAATGTACCTATTTTTCCCACATACTTGACAACCGAGTATTACCGTTCTTAAAAAATTGCTGATTTGGTTGACAAATAGTGCTATTTTTAATTCTTTATATGAATTTCTTGTCTTGTGAAATGTTTCTTAATGTTCTTCATTTTTGTACTATGGTAGTCAGTTTCTTATTAAATTATAGGTAGCCAATTTCTGACAGTTACAAAATAATTAGATTGAACTAATACATAAAGGTAATAAGCATTGCAAATATGAAATAGAAAAAAAAGCCATTAATATTTAGTACATTCTCAGTTCATTTTTACCAGAAGAAATTGAAAGTCACTTCCTAATTTCAATTTCTTATGTTTATTTTGTGTTTCCTACTTCAGAATATTCATAATCTAAAAAGTCTTGTATGTATTTTTAGCTTCAGCAGATCCGCAAAATTCTGAATGCTCATGTGAACTCTCTGCAGTGGATTGATCAGAATACAGGTGGGAGTTTATTTGTATGCCAAGCTCTATGTATTACAAGTAGAAAATGTGATATAAGTCAGGTTGTGTGCTTCGTGACCACACTCACATTAGAGTTCAGTTGCAGGAGTGTTGCTTAACTCATGGTATGCCTACATCAGTTCTGAAAAATTATAGTTGCTTATTTTTGTAAAATGAAACACAGATAGGATAAAATAGAAATTAATGAAAATAGAAAGTGGATAGGAATGGGATATAGGGAATAGGGATAGAAGCAGGACTTCAGAATATATCTTTTTATACAGTTTTGACTTCCATGTAAATATTTTATATACAAAAATTAGAATTAAGCCAAAAATAATGTGAAGAAAGACAAATACTAAAATTGAGTACATACTGAAAGCAAACAAACCTATGTAACTAATTTGTAGCATAATAATTCAGTTCAGGTAACTTTTGAACATAGTGTGCTTGATGATGTATCCTTACTAGGATGTGGTCCTAAGGATAAAAAGAACTGCAAAAAAATATTAAACCTTCTTAATATGTTCGTTATTAGTTTCAGAATTATAATACCATTATGACTACCATTTCATATATATTGTAGAATAAAGCCAATGCATAAGTATATTAATGATAATAGAAATCAAGATTTTCATTAAAAGATGAAAGAGATACAAGCTATTTTCCCTTTCCTTCTTTTATATTTGTAATATAAATTTGAATTGCAAATACCAGTATGCATTCCTATCCTCTTGTTCTGTACACGGAAAGGGCCTGGGAGCAATGACAGATACCCAAGAAGCAATGAGCATACCCAACACCTAGATCTTGGTTTCTAAATACTAATCTTACTGAAAGGAACCAAATCTTGGGAAATGCCCGATTTCAGGTCTCAGGCAAGGAAGTACAGGGTGAGCTTGGGACTTTTTGTGCAAGAAAGCAAACATTGTTCAAAGACTAATGAGGTTATATCAGAGCACAAGATTGTGCTTGAAGGGACTCCTGCTGGCCACATTAGGGTGGTTTGAACATCAAAAAGAATAACAACAGTAACAGACTATAATTCATTGAGGGTAAAAAAAAAAAAAGAGTCCACAATGACACTCCAAAAAAAAAGAGAGAGAGAGAAATGGGAGATACAGGGATAATTATAGAAGGAATGATAGAATTAGAAAACCATCATTAAAAAAACTTTCAACAGAACACTTTTATTAAGCTCACCTGGATCTTGGATACCGTGCCTCATTTATAAAATATCACAACTGTTAGTTATTTCTTGACAGAAAAATATGCTAGCAGGAAATGGACCAAATACGGACTATAATTTACTGAGTTAATATTTTAAAAACAATTTTATTGAGGCATAATTTACATATAATAAAATTCACACATTTTAATTGTACAATTCAATGAGGAAAATCGCCATTTTGCAGCCCCAGCATAATTGATTTAGACAATGCTAAAACTAATGAGTTTAAGATTGTTGGAGAATAGATATTTATGTGATCTCTAAAGTATCACTCCACAGATTATTTAATAATTACAAAGGAGAAAATGTGCCTTTACAGCAGAGCTATCTGACATGCACTATTTTAATGAAGTGATCAAACCTAGCCTCCCCAATAGTGGGATAACTTGACATTATGTGCCTCATGCTGACATGATAAAAAGTACACAGCATCACTTATGTAGTATTCTTATCAAAAATGTTTAGCTTGAATCTAATCATAAGAAAATAATCAACATTCTACATGTGAGACATTCTGAAAGGTGATGTAGTATTCTTAACCCAAAATGTTTAACCTGAATCTAATCACAAGAAAATAATCAGACATTCTGTGTATGAGACATTCTGAAAGATAATTGGCTTAGACTCTTCAAAAAGTCAATCAGTCAGTCATGGGAAACAAAAAAATTCAAAACCAAAAAATTAAGAAGAAGGTCTTAGGTGAAAAGAAGCATAACATTCATGTCTACCATGTTAACCTTGATTAGATACTGATCAAAACCAAAAAGAAAATTTAGGATAATTGAGGGATTGAATATGGACTATATATTAAATGATTTAGTAATTGTTCATTTTCCTAGGTGTGATAGTTATTATGGTTATACAGGAAAATATCCTTATTTTTAGAAGATGCAGGCTACATTATTTAGAGAATTTTCATGTCTGTAGTTTACTTTCAAGTGATTCAGCAAAAACCATTTGCAAAGAGAGATTTAGCAATTTGTGGCAAAATGGTAACAGTGGGTTAACCTAGGTAAAAGACATATAAGTGTGTGATTTTTTTACTATTTTCTCAACTTTCCTATAGATTTAAAATGAAAATTGGGGGAAAATCATTTTGATAGACTTTGCCTAAATATGGAATACACTGAGACCTCGGGAATTCAAACAGATGAGACCTAGTTAACCAATCAGGGTTACTAATTCTAAAGATGTGGCCTTAAAATAATACACATTTTTTATTTGGCATTTGGAGTCTTCATTTTCCGCATTAATAGAGGTTATCAACCATGAACTTCTCCAGCTTTTCCTTCCAGACATACCTATATCATCATTCATCTTTACTTCCTTCTTTCCTGTGTTAGAGGAAGAAATGTCCTATCCCTTTCTAAACTCTTTTCAATCATCCGAGGAAAGTTAAAGTGTATAATTCCTTAATATTTTTAAAAATTACCTGATAGGGAGAGGTTTCTGAATCAGATAGGTAGGGTAGGGTTCAAGTCAAGGCATTACCACTTAATAGTTGTGTGACCTTAATTATGACTTAATCTGAGTCTTTATCCTCATTTTTAAAATGAGGGATAGTATCTACCTTCTAGGGGTTTTGTAAGACTTAAAAGAAAGCAATGTCAGTAAATGGTAATAGAAGAAGTGGTTACTGGTGATCAGAATTTGCTATGTATATCAGGTGGGGTGAGAGAAAAGAAGGCTCAAGTGATTCAAAAGGTAACTATTAAATTGAGTCTAGAGAAGGCAATTCCAGGTAGATTATTATTAAAAACCACTTACCTAGAGAAGTTGTAACAACAGCCGAGATGTGGGAGAATGTCAGTAACTGAAAAACATTGAAGAATGAGATTATACAAAGTTTGACTTATTTATCTTCCTGTCTGGTGCATGTTTTTCTATGGTCAGCAATGTTTCTTGGGTGGAGTTGAGGGGAGTTGTCAAAATGTAATTTGGGCTATAAAGAAAAAATATAGTGATTTTTCTCTTGCTGGGGATCCTCGTTGTCATAAGTGAAATTTCAAGGCTTTCAACCAGTGTTTCCTTAGTAAAATTAAGGTTGTTAGCGTTGCAAGGGGCTATGTCATTTAAATGAAGAAACTGTGGTCCAGAGAGGTTGAATGACTTCCTTAAGAACAGTTAATTAATGGCATAGCTAGGACCAGGATCCAGGTTTTCTTATTACCGGAATGGTATTGTTTCTTTCTGGTATGCTCTGCATCACAGAATATAAAAACAAATCTTAGTCATGTACCTAATAGTAGAGGACAAAAGTTTTCTAAGTACTTTGATAGTACTTTGGGTGGGATATAAGTTTTAGGTGTCTGGGTAAAGTTCTCAGTCAACATAGGATCAGAAGAATAAGACAGTGGAGTGTAATGATTACTGTGAGTTACTTTTTTGCTAAAAATTCATTTGAGCTGGAGAACTGATGAAATTTCATATAGGTTCTCAACTGACACAAAGCGGGTCATGATAAAGAATGGGGAAAAGCCTACTGGGCTCCGTTTTGTCATTCCCACTCAAAGAGTCTTTCTTTTTCATATCAGGAAATGACATGATCGAGAAATGGAGAGAGGCAGGACTTAATTATGCTGTCTAAGAGAGGTTTTTTTGTTATTTTATTTTGCTTTTTAAGAGTTAATTGGATCATGCCTGCTGAAATGGTCTGTGGGCTGAAAAGTTTTAAGATTAAGCTCAATGAATCCATTTATTCACATTCAGATAATAGTTATAGAAAAGCTAATGAATGTGTTATTTTAACAATACAAATACTACATTTTTTACTAAAGAAAAATCTTCAACATATATAAAGTCAAATCTTTATCTCAAAACATTTTGGGGAAATATTTTTATGATTTAATATATTTAATGTCAGTACAAATTTTTTTTATCATAAAACATGGCAGCTGTTACACTAATAGGATCACATATTTAAATAAAAAATCAGCTCTTTAAAAGTGAGTTGGAAATGCAACATTACACTTTAAATATATTAAAATATTACACTCTCAAGCAACTTTTGAATGTCCATGAATAAGTTACAGAGAATCAGGCCCCTTTCTTCCTCTAACCCATGTGGAACCAACAGTGATGTGACCAAACTAGAAAGGGATCAGAGATAAATGTAAGAGTATTGAATTAAGGAGTGAACCTGTGCATATAGTGACCAGTTTTAAAATTTGATGTTTATCCATTGTTTAACATTATTGGTACCTCTTTTCCCCCTGATTAGTATAGATAGTTGAAAGTTAATAGTAACTATAGTCAAATACCAGTTTCCCCTCTTGTCTTTTTCATTATAAAAATTTACAGTATTATTTCGAGGTTGGCTTGATGGCAATGCTGCAGTCACATCTGTCTTCTGAGTTGGCAGTCATTGAAACTCCGGCAACTCCAGCTCTTTTGGGACCACTTATGACAGAGTTGGCAATCCATCTGAGCCAATTCCTTACTTGTTTTAAGTATATGGAGCTACTTCTCCTAGAGAGGGGAGGTGGGGTAAAGGATAGGCATTTTCTGTTTCTTCATATACCAAACCATTTTCATGTTCGTTAATATTTATCAAACACCACAACGAAGGAATGGGCAATGGAAAATCTTATACTTGTCATTATTTGAAAATTCACTGAGTGTTTTCATGGCATTTTACTTCTTTCATGAAGTGTCTCAAAGCTTCAAGACTAAAATATACTTCATCCGTAATCATTTCAGTCTCATATGGAATAAAACCCCATAATTATTTGATAGCTGCTCACAACATTTAGGCTGCTATTTATGGCACAAAGAATTACTCCTTAGAGTAACTAAAAATTCCATAAGATATCTTGTAATATTTCCAAAATACAGTCCCATTAGTACTGGGCTGAAGGACTATGGACACCTTATTTTTTTGATGTAAAA